TTTATATTTTTCTCAGCTTCCCATGTGAAGAATAATGTCCACTTTCCACACCTACTTTTGCAGTTTGGTTTCCCTTTCAATCACTGCCAAGTGAAAGGTTTCCCTTCAGTCAAAAGAGCAGCATATTATGTTCCATGGGTCTTTCTGGAATATGGGGAGATTTTTACACTTCCTTAGTTGCAGAGTTCCATAGAATCATAGCTAAAACTCTCCCTAACTCAGTACTCCCAAATAGAAATACTGATTGGAATCACATCCTAACTGGCTGGCTTTCATGGGACAACCATATCAAAGAAAGCAATTAGGGTATATAATATAAATCTCTTGTGCTATGGCTTACCAAAGTGATCTATATAATAATGGGATGCCAATTCGTTCATAAACTAGTTAAGTTAGGAGATCAATAGATCAGACATCTGAGTAACACACATGACACAATGCAAAATGTCTAAAGAACACATATTTACCAAAGCAGTTATGCATATATAAAACTCACCCTACCATATATGAGAATTTTTCATTCTGATTTAAAAAAAATTTTTTTTTAGTGTTTATTTATTTTTGAGAGACAGAGAGTGCGAGTGGGGGAGGGGCAGAGAGCAAGAGGGAGACACAGAATCTGAAGCAGGCTCCAGGCTCTGAGCTGTAAGCATAGAGCCTGACACGGGGCTCGAACCCACAGACCGCAAGATCATGACCTGAGCCAAAGTCAGACGCTTAACTGACTGAGCCACCCAGGTGCCCCACGTTCTGATTTTTAATAAAGGTACCCAAAAGAACCAAGTAGATGAAAAGATAAGAAAAATGCCAGACCAACCTAATTTCCTAAAAGAAAATCAAGTTAAACATGCTGAGCCAAAACCTGATTCCAATACTTCTCTAATACTTCACAGTCTTAATGTTTACGAGCCAAAACTCAGTTTTTATTAACCTTCTAAAAACATTCAAATATAGCAATAAATTTCTAAGATGATCACCACACTGTCCGAAAAAAACACACTTTGAGTTATAAAACTAAGTCACTGTGGCAGCCAAGGAGATACACTGCATGGATCTCCCTTTAAGAAAGAAGCTTGCTTGGGGCTCCTGGGTGGCTCAATTGGTTAAGCTAAGTGTCTGACTTCAGCTCAGGTCACGATCTCACGGTTTGTGAGTTTGAGCCCCGCATCAGGCTCTGTGCCGACAGCTCAGAGCCTGGATCCTGCTTCAGATTCTGTGTCTCCCTCTCTCTCTGCCCCTCCCTGGCTCACACTCTGTCTCTCTCTCTCTCTCTCTCAAAAATGAATAAACATTAAATGAAAAGAAAAGAAAAGAAAAGAAAAGAAAAGAAAAGAAAAGAAAAGAAAAGAAAAGAAAAGAAAAAAGAAAAGAAAAGAAAAAAGAAAAGAAAAGAAAAGAAAAGAAAAAAGAAAAGAAAAGAAGCTTGCTTGCCCCTTGGGTGCAGAAAGTGGAGTAGCAGCTGTCATTGCTTTGAGATCCATCACACCATTCAAGCTTTTATACCAAGGCCTGGCTCTTCACAGGCAGGCCCCAGCCAATGACTGAGCAGTGGGGACACTAGGTGGCCATTTCTGCCCAGTGCAAGTCTCATTCACAGGGCAATCCTTGCTGTGAGCTCCCCTTTGAGTTGACTATCAGATCTGCACTGCAATCTGAGACTCTCCTTGCCTCACTTGGTTTCCTCTCCATTATCCTTTTACAGATGACAGGTCCGCACTGAAGTCTAAAGACTGGAGTCTAATCCTGCTTCATCCTCCTCTATCTTTATAGGCCTTACCCCACAACAAATCTCTTCCATTTCTAACTCCATTTCAAGATCTCTTTTCCAGATGATAAGCCATGATAATGACCTGAATGGACACACCACTTCTCTTACAAAAATGTAAGTAGTCTCCCTATTTTATAAACGTCTCTCTCACATACACACACACACATATACACATATCTACCAGAACATTAGCCAATCAAAAAAAATTGTTTTACAGGTTTAATCTATGCAACCTCTAAAACTTGCTCTAAATCTTTAAAGTTCAGATTCAAAGTACATTTTAACATATTAACATTAATTTTTTTTCATGGAATTTCTTACATTTAAATAATTTTTACCACATAAATTTTCAACTTCAATAACTATACCTGTTAAAGGACAACACAATCTTAAGTTCATCATATGAATAAAACTGCACTACAGAAGCATCCATGCTATGCTTAAATCTTTGACTGTTTCCAAAAGAGCTAATATGCCAGTAAAAATAGTTAATTTATATGGGGGTGCCTGGGTGACTCAGTCAGTTGAGTGTCTGACTGGCTCAGGTCATGATCTTGTGGTTCAAGAGTTCAAGCCCTCCATCGGGCTCGATGCTGACAGCAGGGAGCCTGCTTCGCATTCTCTGTTCCCGTCTCTCTCTCCGCCCCTCTCCCGCTTGGCTCTTGCTCTCTCTTGCTCTCCCTCTCTCTCTCAAAAGTAAACATTTAAAACAAAATTGTTACCTATATGGCATGGAAGCATACTAGAAACAATAATGAAACATTTTATACAACTTTTTAGGATACACAAAACATTTCTACATATATCATCCATTAGATCCTCAATCACTTTGCAGGTGTTACTATAGGCTTTAGATAAGGAAACTTAGGGTCAAAGAGATTCTTTGTCTCAAGTAAGAACTAGAATCCAGATTTTTGCTGGTGGAATTGACCTCAAATCATAGAGATAATTAACACAAGTGATACAGTTAATACTTTCTATTACTTATTCCTAACTGATCACTTCAATAAAAACAAGAAAAAAACTTCAGCCTCTATCTGGTCATTATCAAAGATCAAGGCACCACAGAACTATCCTATCAGGCAGCTGACCCCATAAGAACAAATATTTTAGAGATTTCTGAAAAATAAGATTAATAAAATAAAATTTATCCAGAAGCTAAGAACACCAAGAAAAAAAGCACACTACCTTGGAAGTCAGTTTCGATGATTCTTCACTGATATAATTTAACCATTTAGCATTTGGGAATTACAGAAGAACTTTTGTGAGCACTCAAGCCAAAGAAACTCCAAGATTTCTTTCTTGTGGTCACTTACAGTGGATATTTATTATTCTTGACCCTTTTATGCCCTAGAATGCTGTGGGGGTTTCCATGGTGAATCTATGCATAAGCTAAACCATCAGATGTGTCAAAGACGCAATGTGAGATTAGGTTTGCACTAGAACTGTGATGTGAACAGGACACTTACAACTAATGAATTCTTTCAAGGTGAGGTGGAAGGTTGTAAATGGAGACTTCATATCCCACCCTTGTAGCTCAGAAGCTAGCTGTGACTGAGACTGATGTGGGGAGCTGCATCAGACCTTGCAAGAAACTAAAGGTGAATACAGACTCTGAAATGGCACCCAAAGCCTTTTAAAATAAATAGAAAAATTTTAACAGAACTATGAAAAAAAGATGCAGTTGGGCAGGTGAGTGGGGAGCAAGGATTTAAAGAGTAACAACTCCTGTATTGTTGTAAAATACCTCATCTGTATACCTTGTACTGGGACACTTTATTTCTCAGTACTGCATGGCAGGAAATGGAATGCCAATAGAAGACAGTTGTGTTGGTGATTACTCACTTTAAATCAGATAAATTAAATGGTTACTCTTCATAGTTTTAAAGGCAGTCATGTCTAGTAGAGGATCAAAATACAAAGTAAACTAAGATTAGGCCTCAGAAGCATAGCTTTTTTGCTTTCAGACAAAGTGGAAATATCAAAACACTTAATCTTCAGTTCCTAGTCTTCTAACAGGAAATCAACAAAGACTAAGAAAGGAACAAAACCAGACACTCCCAGGGGCAAGAGAGCTGAAGGACTACAGACAAGTAACATGGACTCTTTGTATCTTCCTCACCCATAAAATTGTTATCTGCCAAATCTATCTCAAAAAGTTTTAAGTAACATAAAAAGATAATGGATGTGAAAACCATAGTAAGCTGAAAGGTGCAATTAAAACCACCCATTTGCTAAAGTTCAAATTAAATACCTCTAAGTCTCTGAGAAATGTCTTAATGATGCTCAGAAAATCTTATCAAAGCCCTTTTTTGCCATGATACTGATGAAGTTTTGTTTTTTTTTTTTTTAATTTAAATTTTAGTTAACATACAGTATTGTTTTCAGGAGTAGAATTTAGTGATTCATCACTTACATACAACACCCAGGGCTCATCACAACAAGTGCCCTCCTTAATACCCATCACCCTTCTAGCATATCCCGCACCCACCTGCCTCCATCAACCCTGTTTGTTCTCTATAGTTAAGTCTCTTATGGTTTGTTACCCTCCCCCGTTTTTCCCCACCTTCCCACATGAGCGAAATCATATGGTATCTGTCTTTCTGACTGACGTATTTCACTTATATATTTTAGCTTCATTCACGCTGTTGCAAATGGCACGATTTCATTCTTTTTGATGGCTGAGTAATATTCCCTTATATGTATATATATGCATATATATACATACATATACATATATATACATACATATATATACATATATACTTTATGTATATACATATACACATACACACACACATCTTTGTCTATTCCTGATGGTTCTTTTGAGTAAGACAGGGATGAAGTAGCAAAAGAACTTTGTAAGGTACTATAATACTGCTTACTTTCAAATGTGATTAGTAACCTATGTTGCTCTGTTTACATATACCTCACAAAACTTAAAGGTAGGATTTTCTCTTTTTAAAAATATGATTCATAAGAACCATGTTTATCAACATTTTAAATAAAATTTGAGCATTTTCATAAATACTATTAATATCTATGTTTAAGAATAATCAGAAGACTGACAATCAGAACACTCCTAGACATAAAACCCATAAAAGTATGCCTTCATATTAGAATAAAAATTTCAGTGAAATGATGTATTACATTTCACTGTATATTACAACATACATTTAACAGGAAGATCCATTTTTCCACTGCCTTAGGAGACACCATCTATTGTACTTACTTCTGTATAACATTTTGCAAGCTTAACATCATCCCCAGTTCTCCTTTCATCTTCTCTCTGTTAGCTCGGCATTCTGCCAAGTACCGAAGAGCCTACAGCAAAAACAGTGACAGGTTAATTTACAACTCCAGACTATTCAAAACTAAACTCATTACTAACTTACTGCAAGAGGAAAAAGATGAAAAATAAGTTTTTGTTTTTAGAATCAATTGGTTTTGAAGTATTTAGAAACTCTTCTTTAAATGAGATAATCACAGCAGACCCCTAGGGAAGAAATGATCCTTTTAGCTAAAGTATCTGAATCTGCTCTTTGAAATAATGGTACCTAACTTATCTGTAAGGTCAAAATTAGGTTGTCCTGGCTTTATTTTCACCACTTCATCTTGACAGAGATATATGAAACCACATTCCATTTATTAATTTTAGGGAGTAGTCTCAATAGCTACCATTTCCCCCTAGATACTTTTTACATATTAATTAAAATAAACTGCTGACCGAGACAAAACATAAAAATACCTTTACAGAATGAACTGTTTTTAATTTTACAATTCACCTTTAAAGTGTCCTTTTTTATTGAAAAACAAAAGATGAATTTACAGATTTCTACTTTGTCAAATTTTACTTTTCTAGGGTGCTTTTCTCTTAAAATGTAAAGTATATTTTGGGGGCACCTGGGTGGCTCAGTTGGTTAAGCGTCCAACTTCGGCTTAGGTTATGATCTCGCGGTTTGTGAGTTCAAGCCCCATGTCGGGCTCTGTGCTGACAGCTCCGAGCAATCAGCACAGAGCCTGGAGCCTGCTTCAGATTCTGTGTCTCCCTCTCTCTCTGTCCCTCCCCTGCTCTCACTCTCTCTCTGTCTCTCAATAATAAATAAACATTAAAAAAAAAAGTATAGTTTTCAAGTATTTCACATGCTGATTCTCTAAGGATTTCATTTAGCTGTTCTACAGACCTCCTAATCTCTCATCACTTACCGAATACTTTGGTACCAGATTTTTAAGAATACATCTGTGATCTGTGAACTACACCATCCACAACTCTGCCATCTCAGCCTGCTGACCTTCACATTTGCTACTGGTCCTCTGTACTACATTTCCCAAGTGCCTGGTGATTACTGAAAACGGTACTATCTACGAAATCTCCTATTCTTTCTGCAACTCCTCCCAACCTTGACATTCACTTCAGTCTATAAAGGATTAACTGCCATGGGAACTGACCTCCATCCACAAAAAGCCAATAGGACAACATATATTAAACACACTGAACAAGAGGTGGCATAGGACTGTAACCCCTGAGAGAAGAGAAATATGAGGGGGGCCCGGTAAGTGCCCCACCTTACTGCTTTGGAGGCAGTTTTCAGACTAGCACAGGGAGGGGGAACCCAAATGGAGCCCAGGGGTCTTGCTGGGTTAAGGATGCAGATATCAGAGGCGGGGAGGTTAGGATGGTGCAGCATAATAACAATCAATATTTGGTCTTTGTCCTGTCCCTGGTGCAGAGCTCCTAAAACCCCTGGAATTTTCTGAGTGATAGCAGTTTCTTTTGTTACTCCTAAAGCAGCCCTTTTGATCACACCTGGGTTTATGTAAAAGAAGTGAGGTAGGCTGAGGCCCCAAGATAGCCTCAGAACGGGGCTGGTCACTAGTAAGACCAAGAGATTAGAGGCTGGGAACTTTCAGCCCCACCCACTGACTGGGAGTAGGAAGGTGCTGAAGATTAAGCTCTAAAAAAACTCTTGAACAGGGGCACCTGAGTGGCTCAGTTGGTTGAGCGTTTGACTCTTGATTTTTCTGCTCAGGTCAAGATGTCAGTTTCATGAGTTTCAGCCCTGCATAGGGTCTGTGCTGATAGCATAGTGCCTGCCTGAGATTCGCCCCCTCTCTCTGCCCCTCCCCTGCTCACACACTCTCTCTCAAAATAAGTAAACTTAAAAAAAATTTTTTTTTTAACTCTTGAACAAGGAGATTCAGAATTTCTGAATTGGTGAATACAACCGTCAGCAAGGAACATCCCAACTCCACAGGGACAAACGTTACCGCCCTCAGGACCCTTCCAGACCTTGCCCCATGTACCTGTTCATTTGTACCCTTTACAATAAGCTGGTAAATGTAAGCCAAGTGGCTTCCGGAGCTCTGGAGCCATTCTAGTAAATTATCAAACCTGAGGAGGGGGACACTGGAACACCTAATTTATAGCTGTTCAGTCAGAAATGCAGGTGACCTGATACTGGCAACTGGCCTTTGAAGTGAATGTAGTCTCGTGGGAGTGAGCCTTAAATTAAGGGAGTTTGACATTTAACTCCAGCTGGGTAGTTTCAGAATTGAATTGAACTGAATTGAATTGCTGGACACCGAGCTGGTGTCCGCACGGAAATAGAATTGGCTGGTGTCAGAAAACACCCCAGGTGGCTAGAATTTGCAGGAGAGAAGAGGGATCTGACCAGGATGGGGGGGAAAATCAATAGAAAGAGACCAAGATGTGACAGAGATGGAATTAGAAAATAAGGGCATTAAAAGAGCTATTGTAAATATGCTCCATATGCTCAAGGATGAGTAGGAAAACATGAGCGTGATGAGGAAAGAAATGGAAGATATTAAAAATCCCCAAATGTAACTTCTAGAGGACAAAAACATAATACCTGAAATGAAGACAACCCTGAATGGGTTAAGAGATTAGACACTACAGAAAAAAAGATCAGTGCACTTAAAATATAGCGATAGAAACTATCCAAAATGAAGCACAGAGAGGGAAAAGACTTAAAAGGAAAAAAAAAAAAAGAGCAGCGCAACAATGACCCGTAGGACAACATGAAGTACCTAACATACATGTAACTGGAGTCCCAGAAGAGGAGTGAGGAGGCATTAAAAAAAACCCTGAAATTATAATGGATGACAATTTCCCCAAATTAATAAAAACTGTAAAACCACAGACCCAACCAAGCAACTCAACAAATCCCACAAGAACAAAACCAAGACACAAAGGAGACCATCCATATCAAGCACATCATAATCATTTACTGAAAAACAGTAATAAAGTCACCAAAAAAAGCCAGAAAAAAGAATTATGTAGAGAGGAACAAAGATAAGAATCATAGCAGTCTTATTAGAAATCATATGAAATCATATGAAATCATAGAGTATAGCTAATAAGCCAATAGTGAAGATAAAATTTAAAAAACACCACACCTGCTCTTCAACTTCAGTGGGAACTTGCACCCATGTATCCCCCCTCCTACTTTCTCTCTAGCTCTGTCCCTCCATGACTTGACTTCCCTTCCTGTTCAGCCTGGCATCTACAGTCTATCATTTCAACCACTCTCTTGCCAAAATCCTAAACTCCCTTTGCTAGCCTTCTGTGTAACTTACCTGGCCAAGAATCAACCCTGAACAAATCTGACTCTTTGGCTCTCAGGACCTGTAGTGGCCTGAAGGAGGTGAAAAAGGGATTTTGTGAGCTGTAAGCATCTTACCAATCCAGTGTCACCAAACTAGTCAGGCCCTCAAAACTGCTGAACAATCCCACCTTTCTCCTCAGTCAGCAACCTGTCCCATTTTCTGTAGCAACTCTCAGGGCCTCCTCTTCAAACCTCTTCCACTCTGGCAGCCCCTAGCCTCCTTCTTCTTTTTTAGCCCCTAGCCTTCCAAATTTAAATAGGTCCAAGTCTAGTCCACCAAAAAAAACAAAACAAAACAAAACAAAACAAAAAAACACACTTCTTCCTTCTACCCCAAGTCCCTATCTGGAGACCTATCCCAAGACCTATCTGGTGTTGGTCTTATCCTTATTGCTATTCATATTGAAATAAAACCAATCTAGGGACCATTAAAATTTTCCCATTTGTTACTAATGTTCACTTGTCAATGTCTGTTTTGCCTATTAAACTTCACTCTATGAAGGTAAAACAGAAAATCTGTATTATGAAGTTTGATTTTTGAAAGGGAAAATGCATATATTATTGCTCTGTACAAACTTGTGAAATTAGACTAAATGGGTCTCTAGGTAAAGGGCAAGGAGTTTGTGGGGCACCTGGGGGGCTCAATCGGTTAAGCATCTGACTCTTGGTTTCAGCTCAGGTCACGATCTCACAGTTGGTGAGTTCCAGCCCCACGTTGGGCTCTGCACTGACAGCATGGTCCTGCCTGGGATGCGTCTCCCTCTCTCTCTGCTCCTCCCCTGCTCACTCTCTATCTCCCTCTCAGAAAAAAAGGGGAGGAGGGCAAGGAGTTTAAGATTTATTTTACAATAATCTTTTTTAAGCATTTTTGTTATGATTTTTTAAAAAAATTTTTTAAGTTTATATTTATTTTGAGAGAGAGAGCAAGCAGGGGAGGGAGAGAGAGAGAGATACAGAATCCCGAGTCGGCTCCGCACTGTCATATGTTTATGGTTGATTTGTTCAAATCAGAATCTAAAAATCAGGTCCACATATTACCCTTGGCTGATCTGTCTCTTCAATCACTTAAAAAAAACACGTTTGTTTATTTATTTATTTTGAGAGAGAAAGAGAGAGCATGAGTGGGGGAAGAGCAGAGAGGAGAGAGAGAATCCTAAGCGTGGCTCCATCCCACAAATAGTGAGATCGTGACCTGAGCCGAAACCAAGAGTTGGACATTTAACTGACTAGCCACCCAGGCTAAATCACTTTTAATCTTTAACAGTTACCACTATTCCTCTCCTCCAGCCAACTGCCTTTCTTTTTAATGCCATTTACTGTTCACACAACCAGAATATCTGTCCTCGAGAAATGATCACATTCTGGACTTGCCTGATTGCAATGTTCTTTCACACTTCTCTAGCTCCTGCATTTCTCATAACACAGTAGTTCCTTCTACACTATTAGCCATGATCCTATATGTTTTTCTCTGGTCTTCCCCTTTCCTTACCTTTCCCTCCCATCTTATGCTAAAATAAGTGCTATGTCCATCGACTGAGAAGCAGATAAGGAGAATGTGGCATTCCCCTACAATGGAGTATTATTTGGCCAGTACTATTATATGCTACAATGTAGATGAACCTTGGGAACAGTGAAAGAAGCCAGTCACAAAACCCACATATTCTATGATTCTATTTATGTAAAAAATATACAGGCATTTTTGCCCAAATAGGCAAATATATATACAGTGGCTACTTAGGAAAGGGTTTGGGGGGCGGGGAGCAATAGGTAGAGGAGTTTCTTTCTGAGGTGATGAAAATGTTGTAAAACGGGACTGTAGTAATGGCTGTGCAACTCTGTGAATACATTAAAAACCAATGAATGGTACACTTTAAATAAGTGACTTGTATGGCAAGTGATTCAGACCTTAATAAAGGTATTACAAAAAAAAAAACCCAAACAGTAAGTTTCCTCTTCATGTGTCTATCCACACTGATATAATCCTCAAGATTTCTTAAGTGAAAAAAGGAAGTTGCAGAACATTTCATGCATATAATATGCTACCATTTGTGTCAAAGGTACATATATGTTTGCATATATAGAAATACAGACTTACTATTTGCTCTATAGTCAATTTTAATTTTTTTACCACATCATCTAACATTTTCAAGTTCTCCTGAATTGCAAAATTGTAACACCAAGACTGAAATTACTACAGGAAACTTACCAGTAAAGCCGAGTGGACAACAGGGGGGTTGGGATGGTCCATAAATAAAATAAGGCCAGGCAGACATCCCTGATCCTGAACAATGGCTCTTCTATTTAATGGATCTGCTGCTAGATCCCGTAGCTGGTTAACTACCGAGAGAGCATCAGGTTCTTCATTCATGGTGGAGGAGGAATTCATCTTCTATGCCATACACATGAACAAAATCTTCTTAAATTCTGTAGAAATGGTTTGCAAAATTAGCTCAAGGCTGCTGAGGTATATTATGGCATTTGTTAAATAATCAAGATTACAACACCCTTAGAAAGAAACAGATGAATCTAAATCACACAAAAACTTGAGAATTGGCAATCCCACAGTTTAAGTAAAATGAACATAAGAAGCTAACTAAAAAAAAAAAAAA